AAAAATGGAGCCCTCCGTCCCAGAAGGCGCCCAGGAGGTCCCAAAGAGGCCCCAAGAGGCCTCCAAGAGGCCCCAAGATGTCGCCAAGAGGCCCCAGGAGACTCCCAGGAGGCCCAAAAGAAGCCCCAGAAGGCTTCAAACATGTCTCCCAGGCGCCCCCGAACGGCCTCTCAACAGACCCCAAGAGGCCCCCCAAAGAAGCATCTTGACGACGACTCTATTTCGCCCCATCGAGAGACGACCCCCAGGGAACTGCTTCACCATCAAAACTGCCCACGCAACGCGTGCGAACGACACCCGCCCCCAAGAGCGCAACATGGGCAACGAACACACAAACAAAAACCAGCGATGCCATATCACGGGCCGGCGGAATGAGCGAAGCGATTCAATAAATTGTAAGGAAATATCAGGCGGGAGCCGTGGTTGTTGTAAACGCGGGGCCAACGACACAGTTTGACGCTCAAATCTTTCCCTGCTAAAAAAAAACAAGGTGCGAGCCCCGGGAAGGGCACTTCAATTGAAAAAACAACGTGCACCAGACGAGGGGGATCGACAATGATTATTCTTGCGAAATGATCATTCAACAACAACAACAACAACAACAACAACAACAACAACAACAACAACAACAACAACAACAATTACTAGCACGTGGGGACACTCCGTTCTCACCAGTGCCAGGGTTTTCATAGGAGGCGGGCAATACCCCCACTTTGTGGGGGGGCCGGTTCAAGCTCTACCAAATTTCCAAACGACTCTTCGCCACCACCCACACCCAGCTTCCCGCCCTATGACGTTCGGACACTTCACTTCGTGGCATGCGGACGACCGTGGCTACTATTCAGGGCCCCGCGGCCGACGACGACGGCGTGCGCGCGCGAAGAAAAAACGAATGTGTCCCGCATGGTATTATTTGACAGGGATGATGGCCCTGGCAGGTGCGCAACCGTTGTCGCAGAAGTTCGAAAAAGTTGTTCGCAAAAGCCCGTTTGACAGAAATGTTTAAAAAGTGTTGGGTTTCCTACGAATCCGCAAGAGCGCGCGGGATGAGATTTTGACAATTTTTTGTTGAAAAACCATTGGTTTTTTGATGTTTTTATGTTAAAATCGCTCCGAACACTAAGGTTTTGGAAGGATTTCGTCTTGCGCGCGCGAATGTCCACTTTACCTTATTTTTTGCAAGGGATTCTTGAAATTTGATTATATTAGAACAAGAAATGTCATTTTATATTGTTTTTTGCAAGGGAAAGCGGATTACAACAAAACAACCGGATCCGGACACATCGTTTTACCTGAGGCTTCCTCACGAAAATGATGAAAATGTAGCTGCGGCCTAGGCGCGGCGGGGGGGCGCGCACCAGGGGTCCCAACAATAATTATTCTTTAGAAGAAATAATGTTCAACAACAACAACAACAACAATCACTTTACCCGAACGCTCAGTGTTCTCACCAGTGCCAGGGTTTTCATGCGACGCCAGCCAATACCCCCACTTTGTGGGGGGGCAGTGCAAGCTCTACCAAATATCCACACGACTCTTCGCCACCACCCACACCCAGCTTCCCGCCCTATGACGTTCGGACACTTCACTTCGTGGCCTGCGGACGACCGTGGCTACTACACTGGCGTGGAGTACACACCCACAGAAGTTGTTAAGCCTACGTTCGTACACCCACAGAAGTTGTTAAGCCTTGTTAACCCACAGAAGTTGTTAAGCCTTCCACAGAACATCTGTTGCATATGATGCATATGGTACATGATACACATGATACACATGATACGTACTCACAAGATAGTTGATCACATCTTTAGGGCAAATTCCTGAGGGATGTGGGAATACACAAGAGAGAGAGGATATGGTTGTCCCGATGGTTGTCTCGATGGTTGTCCCGATGGTTGTCCCGCATGGTATTACTTGACAGGGATGATGGCCCTGGCAGGTGCGCAACCGTTGTCGCAGAAGTTCGAAAAAGTTGCTCGCAAAAGCCCGTTTGACAGAAATGTTTAAAAAGTGTTGGGTTTCCTACGAATCCGCAAGGAACAAGAAATGTCATTTTCTATTGTTTTTTGCAAGGGAAAGCGGATTACAACAAAACAACCGGATCCTGTACACACCCTCTTTTCTGAGGCTTCCTCACGAAAATGATGAAAATGTAGCTGCGGCCTAGGCGGCGCAGGGGGGGCGCGCACCAGGGGGCCCAACAATAATTATTCTTTAGAATAAATAATATTCAACATTATCCCAGTGCGACCCTACCTGGGAGTTGGAGCCTCTAGGAAAGCAACATTAGTAGGAGCGGTAAACGCCGCCCTCCTCCTTCTCCTCATCGTCGTAGTTGTAGCAGTAGCGGTAGTAGTAGTTGTAGTAGTAGTAGTAGCAGCAGCAGCAGCAGTAGTAGTAACAGTAGTAGTAGTAGTAGTAGCAGCAGCAGTAGCAGCAGTAGCAGTAGCGTAGCAGTAGCAGTAGTAGTAGTAGTAGTAGTAGCAGTAGTAGTAGTAGTAATAATAATAGTCGTAGCGCCAGAACCGCCGACGCCACGCCGTAAGTGAAGCAGCAGCAGAAGCAGGCAGCAACCCGCCGAGACAGCAGCAAAAGCAAGCAGGCACGGAGATGAGGCATGGAACATACGTGCGCACACACACACATATATAAGTACATATATATATATATAGCAGCAGCAGCAGCAATAGTGAATGCTGTGCTGCGCTATGCTATGCTATGCTATGCTATGGTCTGCTATGCTATGCTATGCTATGCTGCGTAATGCTATGCTGGGCTAGGCTAGGCTAGGCTATGCTATGCTATGTTATGCTGCGCTATGATATGCTGCGCTAAACTATGCTATGCTATGTTATGCCATGATACGTTATAGTATGATATGATATGCTATGATATGCTATGCTATGCTATGTTTTTGCTTTGCCTTCGCTTTTGCCTTCACTGTTGCCTTGCTGTTGCTTTTGCTTGGCACCCAGGGAGCGCAACTGGGGGAACCGCGCGTTTGCTTTTACCTTTGCTGTTGCTTTTGCTTGGCTCCCAGGGGACTGTGGGAACCGCCCGGAGCGGTTTGCACTGCCCGGCCCCTTTAAGCCAAGCGAGTAAGAACCCTTCTAGGCAGAGCCTAGATAGGGAAAAGAAGAAGAAGAAGAAAAACAAAAAACAACGAAAAAAACAACAAACAAACAAAAAAAACAAAAACAAAAAAAACGCGAAGTGGTAGACGTGCGCCAATCGGACGTTGGCACGTGGCGAGGTCATCCTCTCGCCTGCCAACCCGCCTGCCTTGTCCTGCCAACCCTGGCCTCCCGCCAAAGCGTTCGTCGTCGTCTGTTTGTTTTTCCTGTTGTGTGTTTTTCCGCCTTCGCCCGGCAACCAGGATTATTGGAAGCCGGCGGTGCGACGCACAGAAGGGACTGTTGCCGGGGGCGGCGGTGCCGAGAAGAACCCACCCGCGACCCGCCCGCGACCCACCCCGCGCCCGCCCCCTCACTCTTGTCCGCAACTGCGGGGTGCCACATGCTCTGCAGCGCTGGCCCTGCTCCTCAACCGCGCGGGGGCAGAGCATGCCCTGGACGCGGTCTTCGAGAGACCCCCTCACAGCCAGGCATGCTCTTGCAGCCGCGGAAGGCGCGGCCTTCCGCCCGTCCGCCGACACCTCCTCCAGAGCATGGTGCGCTGTCCGCCGGGCTGCCGCGCCGGCCGCCGCGCGGAGCGGGAAGGGGTGGCGGAGGGGAGCCGTGATCCGATGCTCACAAGCTCGACTAGAGAGAAGGGAAACTGGAGGGAGACGCAGGAGGCGGCGGGGGGGCGCGGTGCTCAGCCGAGAGCACAGCGGCGGCGAAGGGAGAGAGTTTGGGGAGAGAGGGTGGCACCCCGACGGCATCCTCATGCTGCGTATCCTGCAGCTGGCCTCTGCGGGAGCCCTGGTGAGGGACGTTTCTTGGACCCTTGTCTTCCATCTCCGCGTCGCCCCATTCCACTGGTCATCCAGACCAGCCTCGGGGCCGACCAAGGAGGATGAGAAGAAGGAGGGCGCTCAGGCCAGGGACGCTGAACAGGAGGAGACGAGGAGGAGGAGGCGGAGGAGGAGAAGGGAAAAGGAGGGGAGGAGGAGGAGGAGGAGGAGGAGGAGGAGGAATGGGAGGAGGAGGAGGAGGAGGAGGAGGAGGAGGAGGGGAAGGGATAGGAGGGGGAGGGGAGGAAGAAAGGGGGAAGCGGCAAGCTAGGTGCTCTAGCGCCTCATCTGACGTCCTATCCCTCCGCCCCATCCCTTCCCGTTGCGCATATAAGTTGTCGTCTGACTTGAATCGGGTATCGAACCAGACCTTCATGCCGAGATGGGCCAGAAGCGGCCAAGAAGCCTTGACACGCAGACCGATGCCGAGGCCTCGAAGCGGCTTCAACGCAGAGAGAAACGGGGCCAAAACGCTGCAGTTGGACCACCATTGGCAAGGTCCGCGAACGCGCATGCGAGGCCAAAGCTGCAGCGAAACGGCACAGCGGGACCCCTACTATGAAGGGCAGAGAAGCGCAGACCGAGGTCAACGCGGCAGCGGGACCTCCGCTGGCAAGGACCGCGAACGCGGACACGAGGCCCATGCTGTGGCGGGGGCGCCATGTTGGAAGGACCAGGAACGAGGAAATAGTGCCGCCCGCCGCTGCAGCGGGAGCGCCAGTGTGGAAGGAGCACAGCCGATCGAAATGAGAAGCACTTAAGCAAAGCTCGTCCGCGCAGATCGTTTGTAAAAACCTGTACGCGGAGGGATCGAGTGGAGAGAACACATAACATGTGTAAAGAAACGATACGCAGAGTGGGGGGGGTCGGCTACTCTCAGTACATGTTCGGGGGATGGAGGAGAGTAGCATTCATGGTGTAGTTGCGAAGGGGAGGGAGGGAGGAAGAGGAGGAGGAGGAGAAGCAGGGAGGCGTCGGCGGGGCCGGGGGTGGCGATGACGACGACCGGGGAGGCCCACCCAGGAGCAGCGAGGGACCAGACGTCCTTGACGGCATCCTGCCCGAGGCGCTCGCGCAGCTCGTGGGTGATGGGCCTCAGCTTGCGCTCCAGCGCGTCCGCCTCGGCCTCCTTCTCGAGCTGCCTCGCGGGGGCGGCAGGCCGCTGCGCGCCGCCGCCCGGAAGTGGGCAGGCTCGGCCACCGCCGGGCCCCGTGGAGGCTCTGGCGGGCGTATCGCCTCAGCCGCGCCGCTTGGTCCTCTTCCTCCTCGTCCCCGTCCTCTTGCGCGTCCTCCTCCCCCGTCCCCGTCTTGCTCAGAAAGAACTCCTCCCTGTCGCACCCCGAGACGTGTCGGCAGGGCGGGCCGGGCGTGTCGCATGAGACTTCCCTCACCAGTTATGATTATTTAGCCCAGTTAAAGCGTGCAACAATTTCACGGATGGAGGGCAGGTCGTTTTCAAAAGGCGGCTCTCGCCTTGGCGCCGCGCACATTCGTCGCAAAGTTCGCAAAAACTTCACGAATGGAGGGCGACCGTTTTCAAAATGCGGCTCTCACCTTAGCGCCGCGCAAATTCGCCTGAAAAGTTTGCGAACGCTTCACGAACGGAGGGCGGCTCCTTTTCAAAATGTGGCTCTCGCCTTAGCGCCGCGCACATAGTAGTAAAAGTTTGCAAGAGTCTTCCGGGTGGAAAGTGGTTCCTTTCAGAAATATGGCTCTCGCCTTGGCGCCGTGCATTCTAAGCGCATAAAACATCTTCAAGGAGTCTGAAGGTTGACTTCCCTGAAATGATGTTTCGGTACGATGTAGGACCCAGGGCGCAACAGTGAAGTTGACTCGAAGTGTTGAAATGACAGAAATGCTGTTCTGCCATGACTCAGAATCTTCAGGACCCGACAGTCATGTTGATTCGCGGCGAATGGTGTTTTGCCACGGTTCAAGATTTTTAAATCTTCCAACGGGGCACCTGCCTCAGTGAAAATAAATCCTTGTAGAGATCTATGAAGAGGGAACTTGGAGGGAGGGTTTGTTGCAACATCTTTGATGAGCCTTGGGTTTGTACTCGTCCTCCTCCTCATCGTCCTCTTCATCCTCCTACGCCTCCTCCTCCTCATCCTCCTCCTCCTAGTCCTCGTCCTCCTCCTCCTCCTCCTCCCCCTCCTCCTCCTCCTCCTCCTCCTCATCGTCCCACGTCTCATCCTCCTCCTCATCATCCTCCTCCTGCTTCCTCCTGCTCCTCCTCCTCCTCCTCCGCCTCCTCCTCCTCCTCCTCTTCCTCCTCCTCCTCTCCGCCCCCCCCCCAGGCATGCGGATGAAATCTCGGGGGCAGCCCCTTGAGAGGCCCCTGAAAGGGACGACCTTCAATTCTCCAAATACGCTTGCCCTATAGGAGTCTTAGCTCATCATAAGTAATTGGTCTTTAAGACCCCCCCCTTTTTCCAGTGGCACCCCCCTTTTTCCAATGGCACTTGTTTGCTTGCTCTTGCATGCTTGCTCTCGCTTGCTTGCTCGTGCTTGCCCTTGCTTGCTTACGCTTGATCGCTGTTTCTTGCTTGCTTGTTATTGCTCGCTTGCGCATGCTTGCTTCCGCTTGCTTGCTTGCGCTCGCTTGATTGTGCTCCTCCCGTTCTCCTCCCGTCCTGCTCCCGTCCTCCTTTCGTTTTCCTCCCATCCTCCTCTCGTCCTTCTCCTGTCCTCCTACCTATTTGGAGTCAATGCTGGCTGATTTGTCGATACATTTTTGGAGCCGTCTGCGCAGACAACGACAACAACAGCAACAGCAGCAGCAACAACAACAACAAGAGCAACAATGACTGTAAGATACTTCGCTCTTATTTGCCGGCATGTCTCTCATGTCGTATACCCAGACCCTCGGTACCCGCCCACTTCGTCTTCGATCGCACCCCCTTGGGGGGGGGAAGATCTTCCATGTCGGCCACTGACTGAAGTGCAAGGAGGTCTCGAGTGAGAGCGCCGTTCCTGAGTTCGGGGGCCTCTCTAGCCAGGGCCTCTCGAAGTAAATCGTGAGGAAGCATCGAGCAGGAGCCCTTGTCGTCGTCGCTGGGCCTCCACCAACTCGATTGAGTCGGAGTAGACCGTGAGGAATTATCGAACGAGAGCCCTTGTCGTCGTAATTGGACCTCCACCAACTTGATTGAATCACGAGAGAGTCTCGAGCGAGAGCGCTTCCCTACTTCGGGGGCACGTGGCAGAACCAAAGGGCAGATCGGGCGGGTAGACCATAACAGGCGGATCGGGAAGGCGACCCTGGCGGCAAGATCGAGCAGGCAGGTTGCTGAAGCGTACGTCCTGCATAAGTCGCGAGGAAGTCTCGAGCGACAGCGCGATTCCCAAATAAATCGTGAGGAAACTTACGGCGAGAGAGTGATTCCCGAGTGTCGAGGGAGCGGCGTCTCAGTAAATTGAAAGGAAATCTCACGCGAGAGCGCGACCTCTGCATAAGTTGTGAAGAAGTCCCGCGCCAAAAATACGATTTGGGAAGAAATTGTGAGGAGGTATCAGGCGGGAGCCGTTGGTGTTGCAACTCGGGGGCCAGGGGCCATGTTTGGTGACCCCCAGCTTTCCCTTGTGATAGTATTATATATATATAAATAAAACACCACCACCACAACAACAACAATCAGTTTACCCTCATGCGCGGTGTTTCCACACGAAGCATGCGACCATCATGATAACCATCCACATCATGGGGGATCGTTGTTCTATAGCGGGGTCCGTTATTCCCATTCCCAGATCTCCCGCCCGATGAGGTCTTGCAAACACCTCCTCCGAGGAATTTCAACATATCCCGCCTCGAAAACATATGCCCGCGCCTTGCTCCACCGATGCGAGACCGCCAGTGGAACCTCAGCGAAGGGTAAAGCACGAGGAAGTATCGAACGACAGGATTGCCTTGATGGGGATGGGGGCTGTCGGCGGTGAGGCAAGGACCTGGCCCTGAATAGAAAGGGAAGGAGTCTCGAGCAGGGCTGCTGTTGTTGCTGTGAGCGGCGCCAATGCTGAAGAGAGCAAGGCGCTAGTCCAGCGTAAAACAAAACGAAGTCTCGAGCGGGAACGCTGATTTTGTTGGGACGGCTGCTTTCGGCGGCGAGGAGGAACACACCGCCTTGAGTAAGAAAGGAGGGAGCATCGAGCGGGAGCCATGGTTTTGTCGGGACGGGGGCTGTCAGCGGCGAGGGGCTGCACCGTCCCGAGAGGAAAAAAAAAAAAAAAAAAAAAAAAAAAACGAGGAAATCTCGAGCGGGAGTGTTGTTCTTGCTCGGAGCGGCGCCAAGTCAAAAGAGAGTAGGGCGCCAGTCCAACGTAAAACAAAAAAAGTCTCGGGCGGGAGCGCTGGTTTTGTCGGGGTGGCGGCTTTCGGCGGCGAGGAGAAACACCGCCTTGAGTAAGAAAGGAGGAAACGTCGAGCGGGAGCCGTGGCTTTGTCGGGACAGGGGCTGTCGGCGGCGAGGAACAGCACCGTCCCGAGGAAAAAGAGAGGAAGCCTCGAGCGGGAGCGCTGTTCTTGCTGGGAGCGGCGCCAATTCAAAAAAGAATTGGGCGCCAGTCCAGCGTAAAACGGAAGGAGGTCTCGGGCGGGAGCGCTGGTTTTGTCGGGGCAGCGGCCTTCGGCGGCGAGGAGGAGCTCCGCCTGGAGAGAAAAAGAAGGGAGGAAGCCTCGAGCGGGGGCGTTGTTTTTGCTGGGGGCGGCGCCGATGACAGAAAGACTAGCGCGCCAGTCCCAGGTAAAACGGGAGGAAGTCTCGAGCGGGCGCGCTGGCTTGACGGCAGCTTTCGACGGCGAGCAAGAACACCAGCCCTGAGCAAAAAGGGAGGAAGTCTCGAGCGGGAACGTTGTTGTTGTTGTTGTTGTTGGGGGGCCGGTTTTGGCGGTCCCCCAGACCGCTCGAGCGTGAGCCTCATTTTCAATGAAAAGGTAGGTTGCGCCGAGGCGAGAGCGTCAAAGCGCCATAAGGGGTCCAACAATAATAACGGCTGAATGGTCAACATTCATCATCAACAACAACAACAACAACAACAACAACAACAACCACAACAAGGAACAACCGCGCGTGAGTGCCCCATGGTCCCAAACCTCGTTCCCCGCGTTCTTCCCTAAGGTGGACCCGCGCGTCTGTGCCCCATTGGCCGTTTCGGACCCCCCCCAGCAACCAGCAACCAGCAACCAGCAACCAGCAAGCAACAACATGGGACTCCGTTCCCTGCTCCGCTGGCGAATTCGCTCGCTTAAGGGTGTGGACTCATCCTCCATGCCATTTTGCCGTGTCTGCACCAGCGAAGCTCCAGAATCTACGGAGTCCTCCTTAGGTGGATCCAGTTCTACTACAATCCTATTACTGATGGATCAAGCTCTACTACAATCCTACTCGTGGTGGGTCCACCTCTACTACAATCCTGTTACTGGTCGGTCCGCCTCTACTACAATCCCATTACTGCTGGTTCCACCCCTACTCCAATCCAATTACTGCTGGATCCACCTCTACTACAATCCTTTTTGTGGTGGATCCACCTCTACTACTTTCCGATTTGTGGTGGATCCACCTCTACTACAATCCTAGTAGTGGTGGGTCCACCTCTACTACAATCCTTTTGGTGGTGGATCCAGCTTTACTACAATAATCCTATTAGTGGTGGATCCACCTCTACTGCAATCCTATTAGTGGTGGATCCACCTCTACCACATTCCTATTTGTGGTGGATCCAGCTCTACTACAATCCTAGTATTGGTGGATCCAGCTCTACTCCAATCCTATTTGTGGTGGATCCACCTCTACTACAATCCTATTACTGCTGGATCCACCTCTACTATAATCCTATGTGTGGTGGACCCACCTCTACTACAATCCTACTAGTGGTGGGTCCACCTCTACTACAATCCTATTTGTGGTGGACCCACCTCTACTATATTCTTATTTATGGTGGATCCACCTCTACTACATTCCTATTTGTGGTGGATTCACCTCTACGACAATCCTACTAGTGGTGGGTCCACCTCTACTACAATCCTATTAGTGGTGGATCCACCTCTACTACAATCCTACTTGTGGTGGATCCACCTCTACTACAATCCTGTTAGTGTTGGATCCACCTCTACTACAATCCTACTTGTGGTGGATCCACCTCT